GGCCGGAAGATGAAGCGTCTACCAGCATGGATTAAGCTATCATCAAGCCACTGAAGGCATGTCGCGATTCTCAGGTTCCTGATCCTTGAGATCTTTGAAGCTCCCCTGCTCGCCGCTTGTCTAGCCCTCGGCCTAAGCATCACTCTCCTCTCTTTCATCTCATTGCACTGAACCGAAACATGAGATAAAAAAAACTTTTTCAATGTCCTTCCTACCTGACACTCTACACCCTCTCCGTCATTTCTCCTGGTTTACCAAGTGGCCCCAAGACATGCTGCGCATCGCTGCTATGAAAGAAAGTCCTACATGGAAATCGCAGTGCACATAGACGCCCCGCCCGTCCAGGTTAGAATACGCGAGGTGAGGGCAGGGACATCCGATAAGGGAACAAGGTGGTGAAAAAAAAAAAAAAAGAGTAAAGAGATGTACCAAAGAAACCAAATGACTCCCGCGCAAAAAAACAGACCAAACAAAAACGAAAGAAGCAAAGAGAGGTAAAATGACTAACCGTTCCGGACCGACCCTCCATTTCATGAGAAACAAAACCAACCCACCGAGCCTAGACAGAGACTAGGAGATTGAGAACAGAAAGCCGAGGTAGGGACCTACTCGACGAATAATGCATGAGAGGCAGTAGACACAAGGAGCTGGCCCACTGGTTGGAAGCCACGCGCGATGGAGACGAGGCAATACAAGCGAATGGGAGAATATGGTGAAAGGACACCAGCAAAGAGAAGGAGGCAAGATAGAGGCAAAGGGACGTGAGCGGCCGAATTAAACAATGTGAATATATAGAATATAGTCTGTGCAAAGCAACAGCAATATTCCGGCGCCACCGGCGACCTGGAACTACTGATGGTAGTACATCATGCCAGTAGGGCCTGGAGGGTAGAAAAATCCGTCAGGGCTTGGCGCCATCATTGCGGGCATACCAACAGGAACAAACGGCTGAGCGCCGTATGCGGGGTACCCAGAGACAGCGGGCAGGTGGGAGGCGTCGTAATAGTAAAAGGTCCCGTTGATCTCCTGCGAGATGAGGTTGGGGTTGCCTGGTGCCGCACCGTTGCCGTGTGACACAGCCCCGACGTTACCATGGCCCGGTTGACCCATACCAGGGGGTTGCTGCTGGGGTGGCAGCTGCGGCGGCGGCTGGGCGCCAGGTACAAACACAGGCGCTGCTGCAGAGGGCGGAATTGCCCCACCGAAGCTGGGTGCGGGAGGGTAGAAATAGCCAGGCTGTGGCTGCATCATGGGGTACGGCGGCTGCCCGTAGAAGCTCTGCTGCGGTGGTTGCGGCTGTTGTTGAGGCTGTGAGTAGAGGTTGGGCTGGAACGGCGCAGCATGGATGGCACGCTCCGGGATCTGTGAGAGGGGCGTTCCGGTCGAGTGCTGGGATGGGTACGACGGATGTCTGTGGTGTGAGTCCTGGGCCAGGGCACTGGAGACCTGCACAGGAACCTGCTGGTGGAAGGCCTGTTGGTACGGTTGCGGCGGATTCAGAGACATGGTAGGGGACTCGATCGACTCCACCGAGACGGCCTTCTGAGGGCGCGGCTGGTGCATCGGCAGAGTGCTGGGGCGACTTTCTTGGAAGTTGGGCTTCTGCGGCAGAGGGTGAACCTGCGGCTGGGGGAGGTCGTTGATAGAGGTCTCCGCAGCGGCCGCCGATCCATCACCATCGACAAAAACTGCAGGGGCGATGGCATCCACGGGAGGGATTGGCCGCGGGGGTGAAAGCTGTTGCTCAAACGGAATGGTCGGCGGAAGCCGGACTACGGGCTGTCTCGACGTGTCGATGGGAAGAGGGGGCCTCGATATGGTGGAACCCGTGGGCGAGATTATGTAGTCGCGGCCCACGTCGTGCGTGATGGACGAGCGTCTGCTCATAGCGATGCTAGGCGAGTACATACTGCCGTAGAAGCTACCACCACCGCCATATATGCTCGTCCGCCTTGAGAAGCCGCCGACGGAGCCGAAGACGGACCTCGGCCTCCCCCGCATGCGCTGCTGGTTAGGCCGCATGGCTCTGGGTATGAAGATGAAGGATCTGTCGATGGCAGGGAAGATGTATCGAGGTGGGAAATTGGGCAGGGAGATCCGGACCGGCTTGTCGCGACGGAGTGGGGGCCGATGGTCGGGCAGCTTCGTGTATTGCTTCACGACGACGCCCGAGAAGACGCGAGGCATCTTCATGGGCGGAAAGTAGACGCGGACTTGTGCATTTCCGATGTGCTTTTCGGTCGACAACGTTCGGTTGATCGGCTGCGGGTTGGGCTGACGACGAGGGATTGATGCGCTCCCGCTGAGAGGCCCGTCGCCGTTGTTGAAGACGTACTGCGCGTGTCGCGGATTAGAGGCGGCCATGGGCTCGGCCGCCACGGCTTCATGCATGTCGTGTGCCCAAGGGGCGTTGGTAGTGGGGTCTGGGACATTGCCCATCTGCCCGTGGTTGACAAACGGGAAGTGGCCTTGACCCCCCTGGTTTATGAAGCCGCCCCGGCCCCGGCCTCCTCGGCCACCACCTCGGGAGAAGGGACGGAAGCCGTTGGCGGACGGACCGGCTCCGCGGTGGTCATGCATGAAGAAAGCCCCCCTATTGGGCACAAAGGCGGGGTCCTCGTCGCGCTTCCTCCGGTACTCCTCATGTTCTCTGCGGCGGCGTTCGTAGGGAGGCTCCGGCTGTGCGTTTTGCGACGGAGGCCTCGAGGCCGAGCTTACTATGACTGGGGTGGACGATTTGGGAGGGGATGCGTGCAGGTCGTCGAAACGCATCTCTTGCACCGGCGCGGCAGTGTCCGACAGGGACAGTCCGTTTAGCATAATCTCGGTGTCGGTGATGGTAGCCCGGGCAGTCTTGCCAACCGGCTCGGATGGTTTGCCGCGGCCCTGGCGGGCCATGCCGTTCCCGTTGCCCACCGCCTTCCGGGCCTTGGGTGATGTTGGCGAGGCCTCGTCGACGTTGCTCGTGTCGCTGTCGTCGGCGGCATCGCGGTCATCGGTGACTACGGACCCTTCCGTCAGGGAGTCGTCATCGAGCAGGTCAAGGGCTTCGGGGCCGCCCTCGTCTTCTCCCTCGTCCTCGACACGCCTGCGGTGGCCCGGAAGTCTTCTGCGCCTAGGAGCGGCGGCCATTATGACGACGGTGACCCTTGGGAGAGGGAGCGCAGCCCAGACGTGCGACGATGAGTCGGTGTTGCCCCAAGGTCATGCGGTGGCGATGGAGGTGAGGGCTGTCGAGCTAGGGGTTTCTGGAGTGGGCGAAGCGTAGCAACCGCCCTGCGGTTCGGGACGGTGTGAGCGAGGATGTGAAGAAGATAAACGGGAAAAACTCGTAGGTGACAACAAATACAGTGGAAAATTAAACACGCAAGGCGGCAGCTGCCGAGGGGGAAGAGAAAAAAATGGAGAGAAGAAAAAAAAGAAAGTAACCGAAAGAGAGAGAAGAGCCAGACAGCCAGACGAAAGGAAGGAAAGACGATGGGGAAGCCAGACTAGCAAAAGCCTTGCTTGCACTCCGCAGCGAGAAACAGGAGCCGGAGAACCCTCGTGGTTGACGTCGACGTCCAAATGGCAGACGACGGGAGGATGTGGGCGGCGTGGCGTAGTGGTGGTGGAGGATTGTTTTTTTGATGGGATTTTATGTGATCAATGTTTTTGGGTTGGGACTTCGAGCCAGCACAGCCAAGATGGGCCCCGGGTCGGCTTAGGTGGGTGCGGCAGGCTGGCGGTTGGCGGCTGGAGTTGACTTTGCTGCGCACGGAGTTATGGGGCTTGGAAGCTCGCACCACCCACGCCGCCAGCAAAGCATGGAATCGCCTGGATCGAGAAGTACTTTCCCCGAGCTGTCAGAGATACCTCACCTCACGAAATGCGAGCAGTTGTATCCGAACGGGCCGCTCGAGGATCATTTGGCAATAAGGACATATACATCCATTTACTATCATTTAAAGCACCATATTACCGGGCGGTGGGTTAAATATTGGTGTGATTGATCGAGGTCAACAGAGTCAGCATAGGTACCTGGCGCAGCTTACAGCTTGCCCAGGAAGAAGCTCCACTGGAAAGACGGCCCATCCACGTCGTTACCCGACGTCGGGAGATGCCAATCCACGCAACAGAAATGACCAGGTCCAGAGTAATAAGATAATATACATAAAAATAAAAGGGAAGCCTGTCCTTACAAATGGCGGCAACGGCACTACGGTAGCAGACTCACATATCCTTCCGCCCACTCACAGCTCCTCTATCTCGTATAATCAGTGCTTCGAGACACATGTTAGCGTTGCACTTGGGTACCTAGAAAACGACTACAGTGGACAGGCCGAGCCGGTGAGTCCAGACGGCTCACTCAGAGCTCGTCTTCAGACGGCCCAAGCCATGTGCTGTCCTAGGCCACCCCTGTCTGCAACTGGGGCCTTTCCCCAGCCAGCCAGCTCACTGTGCACCATCACGAGATTTGGTTTCGTCCAGGGGGGCCTCATCGCCCGAGGACCGGAGTGAGCAATGACTGGAATCGTGATGCGGCCGGCCAGCCGGCAGCTTTCCCCTAGCGTCTCAAAAAAGCTGCCTAAGATAGCCGCACTTTGGCAAAGCTCGGTGTGCTAAGCATGCACCCCGAAACAAAAAGAGGGTTTCCGAACTTTTGTGTGAGGGCAGGATGATCTTCGGAGGTAATATGGGACTAGGTATATTTTTGGCTGCGGTGAAGCTGAGCTCTTTTCTTTTTCTCCCTTACGCTATTCTCACTCAGTTCCTGCCAAGGTCGGCAAATGACACAGAGGTCCAGGATAAATACCAGTCGGTGCAGGCATCCACAAGCTCGAATCATCTTTGGAAGGTTCTAAAGGCCAGGGAAGCTGGACAACACAGGGCATGGACGGGGGCTGATGTGTGCTTGTGATGATGACCCGCAGAGTCTGGTCAGCATGCGATGAAATAATGGGGGGCTTTCCCCGCCGCATATAAGTTCAATGAGCGCAAGTCCACCATCAATCAGCACAGGCTAGGTGGCCGAGTGGTTAAGGCGTATGTTTCAAGAGAGGTCCTTCTCTTCCCCACAAGGGATACACATATCTCGAAAGAGTCATCAGTTCGAATCTGGTCCTAGTCAGTTCAATACTTTTTGCATGTCGCCATCGTCATCACTTACATGCACGGGCCTTACCTGCCGAGCTCCTCTCCATTTTTTTCTTTTCTTTTCTTTCTTCTTTCTCATTCAGAGCATTAATGCCGCCCATTCTCATTCTATTCTCTTGTTCCCTTCCAGTGTCGGAATGCCACAACATGAGCCGTTCTCGGGGTGTGGCAGACCTTGCATAGTCCGCATGCCGCGCAACTTCACGGCAGTGCGCAGGTGCTGGTCCCGTATCCGTGCTACCACCACGCCTCAACAAACAACCTTGCCTGACTTTGATATGGAAATGATTCGATCGCATGGCGTCGGCGTTTCTGATGCGTGACAGCCTCGCTTGGTTTGTTGGCTGGCACATCGTCGTGCCCCAAGGCCACACTGCCAAGACGCAAACTTGTTGGCCAGCCCAGAGCCCCTTTTCGACGCTGCGCGATCGCCCTCCAGGCTTTCATGGCTGGACCCCGCCCGCCTAGAACCCCGCTAGAACCCCGTCACAGCGCCAGCCTCCAGGAGGCTCGGTTTCTTGGATGTGTCAGGTAGGTGTGTACCCATTCAGCGATACCACTGGCAGGACGACATGAAAATCCAATGGTTCAGTGTCTTCCTCCTCCGTCGCCCTGTTATTATTTTCCCACTTCCCTTGGTGCGCCGCAGCACACCCCCATAATAAAACATGCACTAGGTGATAAGTACCAATCATCCTGTCCAAATCCCTTCATCTTCTTCTCGCTGTTACTGGCGACATCATGGGACACATCCGAACCGACCATTGCCGTAGTCACAAATCTTCAGGCGGACGAAGAAATGGAATGTGTTAGTGGTCAACCGCGTGGCTACGAAGACGCCGATGAACTGGGGTGATGCACTTACCACATGAGCCGACCTCAGGAACGGTTGCCCAGTATATCATGGGCATTGTCGTCGCGTGACTGGAGAGCGCCGTACCAATGGTCAGGTCCAGCCTCGGAGAACAGTAGCTCCGTAGCGTCAACCCGAACTCGGGCCTCGCCGACCACTTGCCAAAGCTTCGGTAGGCTACTAGGCTCAGTGCTCCGTGGGACGAGTCAGCCCTGGTGCTCTGCGCTGTTGGTCGCGCCCTTCATCTGCCCCTCGAACGCCTCGCAGAGCCTAGAACGCCTCGCAGACGTCGTCGCCAACCAGGGTCAGGGGACTGCTGCTGTCCGCGACCGCCTTGTTTCCCGTCCGCACGGGCGCTGGTCTACGGACGTCGGCTTCCTCAGACGGGAAAGCCCAGCCTTCCTTGCTGCCATCGACTTCAACCCTCGTCGGCAGCTCTCATGGTATCCTGGTCAATATGTCCAAATGCGCAGAAGGCCTCGTCCCCTGCCCTGTCCAGGACAGCTGCGAGGAGTCGTGCGTCTGTCGGAAGCCCCGAGCGGGATATCATGTTCACCACGAATGTACCTTGCGGGTCGGGCACGCCATTCTCCCTGATGGTCGTGGTCTTGAAAATGGATAGTTCAAGGCAGCCGGCGGCTCCGCTCGGGGCTGGATGCCCTTCGAGATGGGTCGGCAACTGGATGGCTTGCTCCTTGACCTGGAGGCCACCAAGAGACTTGGTAGATACCGGTGCCTCCTGGACGGGAAGCTGCCACCACCCCCCTTGCCCATCCACGACGTGTTCATGCTTCGATAGCCTGCGGATCGTTCCGTGTCGAAGGACCCGTGGCTGTCCGATCCGAGGCTCTGGCCGGGAGCGCATACCTGTCGACATGGCACCGCCCGCGGTCAGATCAGAGCTCATGGTTTACAGGCGTACAGGCTGCTTCATTGGTGCAACAAGAAACAAAGCGGATAATGTGCTTACCCACGGCTCGGATGAGCCCAGTGTTAAACTCCAACTTGAGCCTCTGTGCTGGAGTTCCAAGATCCACTCCACAGAGAATACACGGCGTCGCTGCGCTGACCGTCTGCTGTGACTGGCTTGACCGAGCCACCCTCGGCCCCTTCATTCTTCATCAGCACCCTTTCCATGCGTACCCGCCCTCCCGCTGCTCCAGGGACGTTCGCCAAGCCCCGTTGATGCATCCGGTTCCTGTAGCAGTAGGGTCCCGGCTTGTTGGGCTTAAATCCACGGCGACCCAGCAATGAGGCATGTGTCTCGATACCGCTTGGCCAATAGGTGGGGTTCAGGAGGAGAGTGACCCTGGAGATCCCGACGTCCTCCTTTGTTTCGGCGTGGGCCTCGGACATGTTTCTCTATGCCCACCGTATGCGAAATCTGAAGGGTGGTAGGTAGACGTGCTTCCAGGCTGCGGCCAGTCTTTCTGATAATAAACCAGCCCAAATTACTCGTTGGTAGAATCGGCAGGTTGCTCATCAGCCGCCTTTATAGACTGGCTGTCGTCCAAAATATTGCACAAACGGATCACACCTACATCATTCTACTCCGTCGGGTTGACAGACAAGTCCGCAGAAGGGTCAGTGCTCACCTTCAGACGGGAAACACCGAAGCTGACCTGAGTCGCGCTGCAAGTCTCGGTTGCCCCTGCATCATTAAGAGCAGTCGCCATGGGCAGGGACCGGACGAGATACGCTTCGTTCCCAAGAAGAGAAAAAGCGGCGGCAACCTCGCTTAGAAAACGTGGTCACCCTAGCGGCAGTGCACGCAGAGCCCGGTGCGCATGCGTCAATCGAATGATGAGACTTTGGGCGTCCAGAATATGATGGGACGAAGAAGGCTCAAGCTGTTTCCTGTGCCTGGCGCCGACTGACGTACGTCACGCCAGATTTTTGACAACATGACACCTATCAGATACAGTCAGGCGGCATGGAACCGAGGTCGTCTCCATTATTAGGTAGCAAGAGATATTCTCCCAAACATGAAGCCCCGAACGCCGTTGCTAATCCAGCACTCTTCTCCCTCGGATAGAGTCGAGACGTTGATGGTCTCCTCGGTACAGAGGCCCCTTGCAGCAACAATGACAATGATTGCATTGTTAGTTATCTTCCGCGCGGTGCGATTCTGTTTGGGTGAATCCACAATACCTTGCTAGAGACCATCTGCGGGTCGTTCCGTCCTGTCCGCCACTCCCCTGGTCAGGGCTGAACCTGAGCGGGACAGGGGGCGTCACCCAGCGGCCACCTCTCCAAAGATACGGGGTGGTTACGCTTCCCTCCATGATATCCCCGTTGGTCGCGTTCACGAGAAGAACCTCCTTTTCTTGCAGCCCGACGCCCGCTCGTTGTCTCGCAGCGTCGTACATGTTGCGCTTGGTAGTTTTATAGTGCGTGTATTCTGATTGGGCGGTTTGTTCAAGGTCTGCTACGATCTTGTAAACAGGGTCTCTTGCGGGCACGGCATCCGAGCCTTGGCTAACCACCCCAGTGTCGTTTGACGGGGGAGGCATAAGAGGCGGGAAGAGATTAACCAGAAGAACTTCTGGCACTGGACTTGTCTCATATCCGAACTGCCCTTCCTTGGACAAAGTCACCTTCACCCTGAGGGGAACGTCGCCAAGCTCGGGGAGGCCCATGATAAAGGCTTCCAATCTCGCCAGGCCCTCGTCGCCGGCAATGGCGGTGACAGCACGGGTCCAGCCCCAGTACGTCGCAGCCCTCAGCATGCGGTCTCGGTGGAGATCCAGCATGTACAAAGGCGAGGGCTTTGAAAAATTCCACCCCGTGTTCTCACTGCCATGGGAGCTTGGGACCGACATCAAGCGAGGGTCATATCGCAGAGAGGTAAAGAGCTCAAACTCCTGGTCTGCCATAGCTGCGGGCCCGTTTAGTTGCTGAAGTCTCAAAATCAGGCGGGAATACCTGGGGGTTGGGGGTTGTCCGTTGTGTAATGATTGATGCAGGTTCTATGGGTGAACCCCGAGTTCCCTTTCTAGCGATGTGGTTCACTTTCGACGCCACTATGTCAGGGGAGCGCTCCAACAACCTGGTGAATCTATACGTCAGATTTCAACTAATGAGGGGCCCTGACGACGATGTGGAGCTCTTGATTGGATGATGGCGGTCCAGATACCCCACTTCTCTATCTTGCTCAGGCTGATGGCAGCTCTGCGGATTTTTTTCGCGTGGTTCGGTCATGGCGCAGCAGATTCGACGAGCTGGGCTGGGGCGATTTTGCAGTCTGCGAGTTGCAACACGCTGCTTCGACAGTGGAAATCCAGCAGTTCCGGCAGCTTCTGCGACGGAGCTTTCCCGCGCCGCTTGAACTTCAGTCTCTCATCACGCCACTGGACGGGCTGCCCGAATTGACCGCCGACCCAGGCTGCATTATCGCCGCTATTTATGGTTGAATTCTTTAGTTCTTAGGTGCCACGATGTCCAGCCAATTCCCCTCGATCCCGCCCGTGAATCCCACGCCAGTCGCCGCGATCCCGACCGACTCGTCGCTATGGGACAGGATATCAACATGGGCCTCCGATAACAAAGCTGTCGTCTACACCATTGCTGGAGTGGCCGTGGTTGTGACTGGTGCCGGCGTCGTCTACTACGTCAATGGCTCGGTGCGTCCCTCGCTGTCCCTGCGCTGCAGGAGCGGCGCGAACCCTTGCCGCCGCCTCTTCCGATGCATGCCTGCTTGGGCAGGAGGCATGCGTCCAGCGAGCGCTTTGGACATGTTTCACTGACTCTACCGCGCCGTGTACACAGGGATCCAAGAGCGACTCACCCCCCAGGCTAAGCAAGAAGGAGCGCCGGAAACGGAAGGAAGCCGAGAGGAAAGCGGACGCTGCCGAAAAGGGGTCCTCGGATTTCAAGGGTTCCGACCCCAAAAACAAGGGTTATGCGTCTGGCCCGTCCGACCCGAAGGCCGCCTCCGTCGCCAGCAGCGATGAGGAATTCCTCGATCTTACCGAGGAGACTATCGAGAGCCTTTCGCCGGACGAGCGCAAGCAGCGCGCCGTCAAGCTGAAGGAGGCTGGCAACAAGTCCTATGGCGCCCGAGACTATGCAAAGGCTATCGATCTTTACACCAAGGCACTCATGTGCAAGCCCGATCCCGT